TGCCGCGCTGCTCGAGCACCTGCAGCGCCGCCGAGAGGCCATGCGCACAGAGGGAGCCCCGGCATCACCACCTGGCGCGGGCACGCGCACCTGCACGGTGACCGAGGGCAAGCACGCGCGTCTCAGCTGCTTCGTGACAGGCGAGCCCAAGCCTGACATCGTGTGGAAGAAGGATGGGCAGCCAGTGGCCGAGGGCCGGCGACACGTGGTGTATGAGGATGCGCAGGAGAACTTCGTGCTGAAGATCCTATTCTGCAAGCAGGCAGACCGCGGGCTGTACACGTGCACGGCATCCAACCTCGTGGGCCAGACCTACAGCTCCGTGCTGGTCGTCGTGCGAGGTGAGCCCGCGGCCTGCGTCTACACCCTTCTGGCCCAAGCCAGAGCTCTGGGCTCCCACTAGTGAGTGCTGGGTAGCGGAATTGGATGGCTCTTGCTTTCTCAAATCCCGGTCTGCAAAAGCTGTAGCTGATGACTGCAGTCTCTCCTATCTCCGTAGGAGTGTGCTCCTTACCACACTGACCCCCCCACTGCCCCTCGTGACCCCGCTTGTCCCTCCAGGCCCCTATCCTTTCCCCGAGACCCATGCCCTCTTGGCCTGGCCCTGGTCACGCCTGGCCTTGGGTACCAGCCTCCTATCGCGGTCCCCAGCCCCCCACAGAGCCCGCTGTTGGGGGTTGTCCCTGCCCTCCCCCTGTTTATCCACAGAGCCAGCCGGGCCAAATATTCCAGCCCCCCAACCCCGCTCTGGGGTTCCCTTTTTGGGGCATCCCCACCCTCCCACAGTTTCTCTCAGAGCTCGCTGTGCCTGTTTGGGTGTCCCCGCCCTGCTCCGGGATCACCCCCACTCCGTCCCCATTCCCCACAGAGCCTACTGTACCTGTTCCGACCCCCCGCCGCCCCCGCTCTGGGGTCCACGTTCTCACCCTTACCCGGTTCCCGTTTCCCGCAGAGCCCTCTGTGCCCTTCCCGCGGAGGCTGCGCGATCTGGAGGTGCTCGAAAAGGACTCGGCCACGTTTGAGTGCGAGGTTCCGCTGCCCAGTACGCAGGCCGCGTGGTTCAAAGAGGAGAAGCGGCTGTGGGAAAGCGCCAAGTATGGCATTGAGGAGGCCGGCACGGAGCGCAGGCTGACGGTGCGCGATGTCTCAGCCGACGACGACGCTGTGTACATCTGCGAGACAGCAGAGGGCAGCCGCACTGTGGCTGAGCTGGCAGTGCAAGGCAGGCGGTGGGACCGGGAGGCTGGGAGATGGGGAGGGCTAGAGCAGGGGGTGAGGGTTGGGGAGATTGGGCAGGAGACCGGGTTAGGAGAGGGGTTAGGGAGGGACAGACTGGGTGGTTTGGGCGGTCAAGGGTGGGGGCAGGAGGAGGCAAGGAGGAGGCGCAAATGCCCAGGTGGTCAGGGAGGGGCAGAGGAGAGTGGGTGGAGTGGAGGAGGATAAGCCAGGGGTGGCCCCACTGGGCAGACAGCTGCCAAGGTCCTGGCTGAGCACCTCCACCCTTCCTTCCTCAGGGAACCTGACCCGTAAGCTGCCCCGGAAGACGGTGGTTCGCATCGGGGACACAGCTGTCTTTTGTGTGGAGCTGGCTGTGCCCGAGGGCCCGGTGCGCTGGATGCGGAACCAGGAGGAGGTGGTGGCTGGTGGCCGCGTGGCCATCAGTGCAGAGGGCTCATGCCACACACTGACCATCTTCCAGTGCAGCCTGGAGGACGAGGGTCAGGTGGCCTTTGTGGCTGGTGACTCCCGCACGTCCACCCAGTTCTGTGTGTCCGGTAAGGGCTGGCCAGGGTCTCCAGTGGCTTCCCTTACCTTTCCTTGGCTGCCTTGGTGTCCTGGATGTGGCCCTGGGACTGTCCTTGGCCAGCTGTTGCAGGGAGACCTTCGTTCTGGGCCATTTTGCTGCAGACAGACTGCTGCAGGTGTGGACTGGGCCTGGGAGCTTGCAGCGTTCCTGAGGGTTCGGGGTGTTCTTCCTGGGCTACTCCAGACCTGGGGCTCTGGGCGGGGCCTCCAAGGTGACCTCAGCCTCTCCTGTCCCAGCCCCCAGGAGACCACCCCTGTGCCCCCCCACGGACCCTGTGGTGAAAACCAGGACAGAGAGCTCAGTGACCCTCTGCTGGACTCCTCCACCCCGTGGGGACCGCCCTGTCACCATCGATGGCTACCTTGTGGAGAGAAGGCGGCTGGGCACCCACACTTGGAGCCGGTGCCACGAGGCCGAGTGGGTGGCCATGCCCGAGCTCACTGTCACTGGGGTGGCTGGGGAGGGTGACTTCCAGTTCCGAGTGTCAGCAGTCAACAGCTTTGGCCAGGGTCCCTGCCTGGAGTTCCCGGGAACCGTGCACCTGGGTAAGCAGATTTCTTCTCTGTGTAGGGGTGGTGTCGGGACTGGGCCCTGGACCTCTGTGTGACCTGAGAGGCTTGCAGCTTGGCTGCAGTGTGTCACACCCTCACTTGCCTAACGTGGCTCCCCCGCAGCCCCCCAGCTGGCTGTGAAGACGCCCCTGCAGGCCGTGGAAGCAGTGGAGGGTGGTGAGGTCACCTTCTCTGTGGACCTCACACTGGCCTCTGCTGGAGAGTGGTTCCTGAACGGGGAGCCTCTGAAGGCCAGCAGCATGTTCCTGATCAGTCGGGACCGCACCTGGCACAGGCTTACCATCCGTGGGGTGTCGCCCAGTCTGCACGGTGCACAGCTCAAATTCGTGGCCGATGGCATCGAGAGCAGCATCCGGGTGGCTGTCCGAGGTGGGGACGTGGAGCCACTTCCCCTGGGTTGGGGACAGCATGGGATGGGCTGGCAAGGGTGTGAATGAGGGAAGCAGCCCTGTTCCTCCTCTCCGTGTTCCTTCCACATTCTCTCGTTCCTGTATCTTGTCTCTTTCTTGCCTCTGTGCCTCCCTCCCCCTGGCTCTTCTTCCGTCTTCGTTCTCACTCCCCCCTTTCCTGTAACCATTTCTCCATCTCTCTTTGGCCTCTCCCTGTGCGTTTACCTGTTCCTGCGGGGCCCCTCCTTCCCTTCTTCCGCTCCACTCTGAGTCTCTCTCCTTGTCTTCTCTATTGCTTGTGGCTCCTCTGTCCCCTGACCTGTGGTCTCTCTGTCCTTGCCTGCATCCATTTCCCAGGGCTGACTGCCAACAAGCCGTTGCCACCACCACCCGCCCAGGAGGTGCTGGCTCGGCTGCACGAGGAGGCACAGCTGTTGGCTGAGCTGTCGGACCAGGCAGCGGCTGTGACATGGTTGAAGGATGGCCATGCGCTGTTTCCCGGCCCCAAGTACGAGGTGCAGGCATTGGCCGGGAGGCAGGTGCTGCTGGTGCGAGACGTGTTGCGGGAGGATGCTGGCATCTATGAGTGTGTAGGCAATGGGAGCCGCATGGCCTACCAGCTATCCGTGCAGGGTGAGGGCTGGGTGCACATCCCCTGGGACCCCATAGTATTGCTGGCTCTGAACCCAGCTCTGGGCAGGCTCTGGGAGTCAGGGAGAGTGGTGGGTGAGGGCTCTGCAGGAGAGGAGCTCCTGCGGTGTGGCCACAGGGCAGGGGAAGAGGGGTCCTGCAGCCTCCGTCTGGGTTGGTCAGTGACCGGGTGGCCCCTGGGCCTGGCATCTTCAGCCTGTGGCCTCAGGGGGTCTCTGACAGGCTGTCTGTGCCCTGCAGGCCTCACATCCTTCCTGCACAAGGACACAGCCGGTGGCCGTGTGGATGTGGTGGCTGGGGACCCGATGCAGCTCGAGTGTGAGACCTCAGAGGCCCATGTCCACGTGTGCTGGTACAAGGATGGCAAGGAGCTGAGCCGCTCGTGCCAGCGCTTCTCACAGCAGGACATAGGCACGCGGCATCGGCTGGTGGCATCCTCCATTGCCAAGCAGGACGAGGGCACCTACTCCTGCCGTGTGGGTGAGGACTCCGTGGAATTCCAGCTGCGGGTCTCTGGTGAGAGCATTCACGTGTGTATATGTGTGTGGGCTTTTAATGTGTATGTGATGGAGAGCAGGTCTGGATGCATCTAGCGTAGCGTGACCAGCACTTTGGACCCTTTTACTTAGGAATGTTTCTTTTTTGGTTATGGAAATGTATAGGAATAACATTCATGAGCTAAATGAAAGATACCTTGTGTATTTAAATAACTAATTTATTATAGCGAAAGACACACTGCCTTCAACTCTCTCAAAACACTCCCTTCCATTTGAGCGCTCATCCATTCTTGCCACCTTCTGAAGCAACTTTGGAGTCTTCTTTCTTGAGTATCTTCAGTTTGGCTGTCCTGGCTGCCTGTGTCCTGAATCAATTAAAAATGTTTACCTTTCATCGTCATTTTGACTTTGGCAAAGGGTCAGAAGTCACAAGGTACCAGATCTGGTGAACACCACAGGTGAGGGCCTCGTTGTGTTTTTAGGAGCTGCCTTTCCATTGGACAGCACTTGGCAGCAGTGTTGACTTTCTCATCATACCTTGTGAAGGCTCAGGAGAGAGACTTCAGTAGAGAGCAGCTTCAGACGGTGGCGAGGATGAGGGGATGAGTGTTTGAAGTGAGGGGAGGAGTTAGAGAGGACTCATGGCAGTGTATCTTTTAAAATTTGAACGTTCACTGTGTTTTTCTGTCATCCAAGTAGACTGATGAAAGGTCCAAATGGTGAAAAGAAAGGAAGTTAGGAACAGTGGTTGTAAACTTGGGTTTCTCTCAGCTTTGGGAGACATTTTCCCTTTTTCCCTGACTTGATCACCCTGTGTTGAGTCAGCCCTGGCTGTGGCATGGTCCAGGAAACCCACTTGTTTATTGTGTTTGCAGGCTGCACTTAGGGCAAGGAGGTTCTGTTAAAAAATGATTCTGAAGCCCCCCTTTTTTTTCCTTTTAAAAATGAGGACACTGAGGCTGATAGGAGCCCGCTGTTTGAAGTGTCCTCGGCAGCCAAGGCTTAAGTCTGGCAGTGACCTGGGGAGCTTCCAGGGCCAGACATGGTGTGGGGTGGAGGAACAGAGCCTGGGGTGTCTCCTGGCTGTGGGCATACCTCAGGCCATGCTGGCCCCAAGGGCATTGTCCTGAGGACAGAGCAGCCCCTTTCTCTGAGACCTGAGCATGGACAGGAGGGGATGTGCAAGACTTCTGCATAGGAGCACATGCCTTCCCCACAGGAAGATGGCTTGCTGTCCTGAAAGAGGAGACACACTGTGTGTGGCAAACTGGGGAGCCACTGTGGCCCTGGCTTGGCCATTTAGTGGAAAGTGTGCCCCAACCTGGGAGGAGGTGGGGACAGGTAAGAGCATTCAGAGCCTGCTGCTGGCATCCTAGTGATGCCTCAAGCCTGCCCGCGGCCCGCTGCATACAGGGTGCACACCAGGGATGGCTCAGGCAGGAGGAGCTTCTCCTCTGGGGACCTCAGGGACAGCCACCCTGACAAAGCAGAATGAGGGAGCTCTGATGGGTGGGCTTGTGACCCCCTGATCCTCATCTGTCTCCAGAGTACAAGGTGGTGTTTGCAGAGGAGCAGCCAGCATGCAGTGAGGTGCAGGCTGAGGTGGGGACCAGCACCACACTGAGCTGTAAGGTGGCCCAGGCAAAGACGGAGGTGACGTGGTACAAGAACGGGAAGAAGCTGGAAGCGAGCTCCAGGGCGCACGTGGAGGCCACGGGCTGCAAGCGGCAGCTGGTGGTGCTGCAAGCAGGCGAGGCTGACGCCGGGGAGTACAGCTGTGAGGCCGGGGGCCAGAAGGTCTCCTTCCGCCTATGTGTCACAGGTGGGTCCCTTGGTGGTGGGGCCGACACCCGTGTAGGTGACAGAGTCACTGCATTTGTACCCTGGTGCCCCTCGCCCAGCTGCAACACTCTTGTTGCATGACTGGTGTTGAGCAGTCAGTATTACTTGCACATGATGAAAAGCACGTGGCTGCTGTGCCAGAGCCCTGGTGCCTGCACACCTCCCGGGACAGGAGGGTGGCCTGGTGGGTATAGAGTCCAGGCATATGGCAGGCAGCGTCTGCAGACTGACCCCCTGTCCTGCCCATGCCCGTGTTTCCTGTCACCCTCCAGCTCCATCTGGGCCCAGCCGAACCTGACACTGGGGTTTCTATGTTCTGAGCTCTCTGACATGTGTCCCTCCTGTCTACTGCCAGAGCCTAAGGCCGTGTTCACCAAGGAGCAGCCGGCACGCAGCGAGGTGCAGGCCGAGGCGGGGACCAGCACCACGCTGAGCTGCGAGGTGGCCCAGGCAAAGACGGAGGTGACGTGGTACAAGGACGGGAAGAAGCTGGGTGTGAGCTCCAGGATGCGTGTGGAGGCCAAGGGCTGCAGGCGGCAGCTGGTGGTGCAGCAGGCGGGCGAGGCCGACGCTGGGGAGTACAGCTGCGAGGCTGGGGGCCGGAAAGTCTCCTTCCACCTGGATATCGTAGGTGGGTACTCGAGGGCTGAATGCAAGGGACCCTGGTGGCAGGTGGATGCTTCCTAGTACGTGTGGGCAGTGGAATACTGGCAGCCCATGTGTTCTGCTGCTCCCTGGACCTCAGCGCTGTGTTCGCACTCTGCCCAGTGTCACCTGTGTCACCTCATCGACCAAAGCAGGCATGGGTTGAGCCAAGCGTGTGTGCGGGAGATGCTCGCCGGGGCCATGGTGCCCTTGCTGACCAGCAGAGTGCACTGGGGTCTGCCTGAGTTGGGTCTCCTGTGGGTCACGGAGGATGTGACCTGTCTGTTCAGCCCTACTCACTGGGCCCAGGCCGATCCCCATGGTTCATGTGGCCATCCTGGGCTGGGGTGGGGCCTGTGCTCCGCCACGGCCTGCCTGGTGGTCCTGCTTGGCTCTATCTGGATCTGTTGTCCACACAGGTGCCCAGCTGTCTGTTAGTCTCTTCCTTCCTCCCCTCCATGGCCCTCAGCTGCAAGCTGCCCTGGTCCTAGGGCAGATGTCCCTCCTCACTCCACTTCTTCCTGCTCACGGCCCCTGTGGGGTGGAAGAGCACTGGAAGCCATTGTGGGCCTGGGTCCTTGGGGCACGGAGGCCGGGAAGGTCAGGGTTCCATCCCTCAGGAGGAGACAGTGCTATCCTTTTGGCCGCCCCTGGCTATGACGGCTTTGCAGGCTATGGCAGACTCTAGCAGCACAGGTCGCGGTGGATCTGGATGTGCCAAGGGCTGGCAAGGGGCAGCTGCCCATGGCCACCGCACTCAAAGCCCGGGGGACCTTGGCCTGGAACACACAGGGTCTGGGCTCCTGTGTTGTGCTCTGTTAACCGCAGCCTTCTCCATGGCCTGGGACAGACATGGTTTAGCTCTGTGCTCTAGAGGGGCTAGTTTGGTCTGCAGTGACTGACCCTGTGTCACCCGTCTGTTCCCAGAGCCCAAGGTGGTGTTCATCAAGGAGCAGCCTGTACTCAGTGAGGTACAGGCTGAGGCGGGGACCAGCGCCATGCTGAGCTGTGAGGTGGCCCAGGCAAAGACGGAGGTGACGTGGTACAAGGACGGGAAGAAGCTGGAAGCGAGCTCCAGGGTGCGCGTGGAGGCCCCGGGCTGCAGGCGGCAGCTGGTGGTGCTGCAAGCGGGCGAGGCTGACGCCGGGGAGTACAGCTGTGAGGCCGGGGGCCAGAAGGTCTCCTTCCGCCTATGTGTCACAGGTGAGTCCCTTGGTGGTGGGGCCGACACCCGTGTAGGTGACAGAGTCACTGCATTTGCACCCTGGTGCCCCTCGCCCAGCTGCAACACTCTTGTTGCATGACTGGTGTTGAGCAGTCAGTAGCTGGCACAT